ACTCATTAATTCCTGGTTTACATGCCAGTTAAAGTGGGGTGCTCCAAGGTGACAGGCATCTAACCAAGATTCCACGGCCTAAGAGGCATTTTAAATATCCATGAAAACTTTCTATGGCTTCTCTTGCGAGGGGCTATTGGCAGATTTGAACCACAATTGCCCCTGATTTATCTGCACTATTACCTCTGCTTGATTCACAGCCAGCCCAGGTGGGTTATCTTTGGCCCGTATCCTGGGTACCTTAAGTGTCAATCCATATAGCTCATCTATTCCCAGGTTTGGTGACGTATCTGAATATAGTCTCCACTCTTCTGCTTGTGGGAAGGTAAGAGTCACTACCATGACCCTTAGCTGAGTCAGATTTACAATCATGTTTCCCTGTGGCCCAAAAGCAATTTGGGGTTGTAGTCTTTGAAGAAGCTCTCTTCCTAGCAGGCAAAGAGAACAGCTTGGAAGATTCAGGAATTCATGTTGGACCTCCAATTCCCCTATAACATACCTTTAGGCTAACAAAATGGCCTCTGCTATGGTACCCCAATGAGCCCTACAACAGTCACATGTTTTCTGGATCATGGCTCAATGGGTTCTCTCACTACCAAGTGTTCAACTTCACTATCTACCATAAAGCCGCTCTATTGGTCCCCCACTTTCATTGCTATCATGGGCTCCCATGAGGTCAGCTTCTGGCTCCTTCTGGGCGTGGTAGTCTTTACAGGTTGTCTTCTGGTTTTATAATTCTCATCATCTCCACCATCATTTTCCAGGCATTCATTTTTCTAGTGCCCTCTTTTTTTTTTTTAATCATACACTTTAATCCCATTTTAACCTTGGCCGAATTCCAGATTCTGCCACATTTGGCCACTTCCTCAACCAAGACGGCACCCCTACCCTTTTGCAACTTCTGTTCTCTTTCCCATGAATGCTGCCACAAACAGAATTGCCTTTATTTTGTTTTTTAAACTTCCAATCAGCTTCCCATTTGGCCTTCTCCTTGCTGTTGGTGTATACCTTCGTGGACACCTCTAAATGTTGGGTCACATTCATGCTGACAAAATCCTCTAGCTTCTGTAGTTTCATCTGATAGCTCCCTGAGGCTGTCCCACAAAGGCTGCATTTACCATGTGCTAATTCTCAGTTGCCTCAGGAGTGAATAGGATATAGAGCTCAAATGCCTCACAGAGCCTCTCCTAAAACTGGCTGGACTTTCATCTGTTCCCTAGAGTATTTCTGAGATCTTTCTCACATTTATTGCTTTCTTTCCACCCTCCTTTAAGGCTTGTAGGAGAGCCTCTCTGGACATCTGCAAGTGATGTAATTGAGCTTCATTGTTTGGGTCCCACTGGGTGTCTACCTCGGGGAATTGGTCCTGAGCATAGATTTGAACATTTATCTCTCCTGCTGGGGTATTGTTTTCCAACTGGTGGAGGGCTGCTTGAGTGACACTCAACACTCCTCAGTGTTAAACAGTGTCAGAAGCTGTTTGCAATGTGGCTAGATTGAATTATGCATCTGAAGATGGATTATATCAAATCTATAAAGCTTGGGATTTCTCCATATAGGATGGAGTATGGTGTTTCCAGTTATGGAGGTCAGTGGTTGAGAAGGGCTGGTAGGTAAAACTCCATTGTCCTCCTTGGTTTTGGAAATCCATATAATAATAAATGGGCAGACTAGTGTCCCCAAGGGGCATCTGTGATGCCCTCAAGCAGATTGATTGTAGGCAGCCAGCTTGATCAACTGGGCCTCCCTCATTTTCTTCTTGGGCCAGTGGCTCTGATATTCACCTTTTGGGTGATGCTTGAAATTTACTGGCCTTGTTAGGTGGATTAGGATGGATTGTGGTATAAATGGGGGGAAATCTCAGCTTCCTCTGCTTTCTTTTATAGAAGAGTTTTGTCTTTGTCTTTTTGTTGCCTTTCTCTAAGGCTTGCTGCAGAGCTGATTTCTCTTTCCCTTTTATTTTAGGCTCACCTCAGGCCACAATTGTTTTTGCAATATGCCACCATACAAGGCTGTAGCCATATGGGTCAGGTCTGGATTAGACTATATTCAGCCAGGACTTAATGTAAGGACATTGGTCAGGATGGAACAGCTCTGTTCCACCCCCAGTCAACACTTCCTGTACATGTCCAATTGTTCGCCTACCTATTGTCCCTTTGGATAGCCACCCCAAATCAAAGGAGGAACAATAAACTTCACAGTCTTTACCCTCTGGGGGGGAATCAGCTTTGCTCTATAACCCTCCATGTAGCCTTTCTCGAAGTTCTTTAACATACATTCTAATGGGGTGATTTTTGACATTCTTCCTCCCAACCCCACTGTTGCAGCACAAATCACTATTTCAATTACTGACACTTTAAACAAATTAGACATCTCCCTCATGGAAATTTTCAGGTACTGCTTATCTTGGTGGCCTTGGCTGGGTCAAAACAGGATCTGATGAGAACTGGATGTTGTGAGACCGTACTTACAGGGGATAAAGTTACTAGTTCTATTTGTAATAGGACAAAGAACAACAGCTGTAGGAAAGGGGAAGTCTAAAGAAGAATTGCTTAGGTTGGGGAAACTTATTTTTCCCTCTTTTTAATATTCTGCTTTAGGGGGACACTCAAATCATATGTAAACCATCGCCACCATCATAAATCCAGCACTCTCTTCTTTTTTTCCTCCCTTTTCCCTTTCTGTCTTCTTTCTTCCTTTCTTCTTTATTCCTTCCTTCCTTTTGTTTCTTCTTCTCATTCTCCTTTCCTTTCTTCCCTTCTTTTTCTTTTTCTCTCATTCCTATTTCTATGTCTCTGTCTCTATCCCTCTCTTACTCTCTTGTTTTTTGGGGTTTTTTTGTGTTTTTTTTCTTCCTGTGGTCCTGGAAATTTCACCTGGAGCATGTACAAATTTTTTTTTGAAACAAAGTATTGTTAAAGTGCTAAGTTTCTCAGTCTAGGCTCACACTTGTAATCCTCCAGCCTCAGCCTCTCAGACTCCTGGAATTATAGGCATGCACTACTATGCTTGGCTAATAGGCCCCATTTTTAAAAGCAGAGGAATAAGTACTGTGCCAGGACAGATACAGATTAAACTGCTGTAGATGAGAGAAGGACAAAAAAAAATGGCAAGGCTGGTGAATACAGATAAAAAAGGCTCCAGGAAACAAAGGCTGAGATTCTTGCTTTTAAAATGGAGAAATTAGTGCTATATGCAAAACCCAGCAACACAGTAGCTAGGCAACATTTCTGAAATAAATTTATTCCTAGAAAGTAGGAAGTGGTAATGTTTTCAGAATGCTTTCTTATACTTTATGGTTTTTCTGTAACAATTCTTAGTAATATTAAGTACATAAACTTAATCATAGCTTAGTAGTTATAACAGTAACTAGCACTATTAGAGCAGAGGTTACATGAAGTAGAATCAAAATTTTGTATCTGAGAAAAAAAATCTAGGAGATTTCTCCCTGCATATTTGAAGTTGCTTCTACTGTCTCTCTCACTCTCTCTCTCTCTCTGTCTCTCTGTCTCTCTCTCTATCTCTGCCTGTCTACAGGTATACATATCATGGGCTTACAGAGCAGGTATCTGCTGAACCAGAGATGTGGGAAAAATGAATGCCTCTTCACAGTTCTCTCTCTGATAGGGTACTATTTACCTCTGGACACACCTGCCCTTCCCAGAGCTGGCTACCTCAAGGACGGAATGTTAGCTACTAACAGGAAGTGGAGGCTACTACTTTGTTCCTGCAGAACTCAGGTCCAATATCTGGGAAGACACAGAAATCTCTTAATCCTTATACCCAAAAAGATACACACATCTCCAGATCTTCTGAAGCAGCTTCTGTATTAATTGCATGACTTGGATTATAAGATCAGAATCATTTTGGCAAAGCTAAATCTAACATTTTACATCATCACATTTGAACCAAAATTTACAGCTAAACTTAACAACTTCTTTTATTTTATTTATTTGTCTGAGAGCAGAAGGGTTATGAATTTGGTTTGGAAATATACATGTATATCTTGGTTTCCCAGATCATCAGCCAGCCTAGTGGAAAATGCATCTATGAGGCCAAGTAGATGGGAACATTCCAAGCCCTTTTCACCCACAGGAGTAACATCACTAGAAAGATGAGAGCGATGTGATAGGAGTACCAAGTCACCACCATATATTGGAAAGGTCCCCAAGCCAAGTACACACATGTTAAGTCAAACACCTTTGCAAGCTATTATCCATCCAAGGTGCACAATTCGGGAAGATGGAAAATGAACCTTCAGGTCTCAACTTCTCTCTTTTTTCCTGCTCCTCCTCCTCCTCCTCCTCCTCCTCCTCCTCTTCCTCCTCTTCTGTTTCCTCCACCCTTCAGCCTTTTTATCAGTTGCTAGGAAGTGTTATCATGACATCTATGTTCTCTGCAAGATGGATAAAGTGCATATGCTCACAGGGACTGAGAAGGGATACCTGTCTCAGCTTCCTTTCCAATCTAAGAATGGCTCCATTATCTGTGACTCCAATAAAGAGGACTGAAATCATGTGAAGGTAGACAAGGGATTAATAGTCAGCCCATTTGACTCAGATAAACCATTTAGGACTAGGTACTCGACCCACAGAAGAGCCACACCATTCTGTGTATTTTTGACATCACAGGTTCAAACAAGCACTTTTGCTCTTCTTCAAGATTTTCAACTTTGAGTACACTCTTTTATCATGCACTTGAATAACATCATACAGAAAGATTCCTAAACCATTCATCTAGTTTGTCCAATGGTAACATCTTGTAAGATGGCAGTTTCATATCACAACCAGGATATTGACATAGATGTAATGCACTGACATTTGTTGTGCTTTTACAGATGAGTTCAACCATTTGTAAAGATAGCAAATCTACCCAGAATGGACAGGCTACAATGACATGCTGTACTTTATGAACAGGATGTTTGTCAAATGAGTGAGATGAGACAGTTACTGGGAAGCCACTGACTCCTAGATCCTGTGAACTGATCATCCAAGTTCTTCTCACTGATGACACTGACCACAGAGCAGGAACTTTTTTGCATTTTGTTTCAGGTTAGGGTTTCCTAAAATTAGGATGACAGAATGTATAGATGGGTAAGTGCCAGCCATCAAGTTGCAGAACAGAATAAGGAAGCTGTCACACTGAAAATCTTGAGAAAAGAACAAAATGATAACCATGTAGTGGGAAAAGTAGAGGATTAGAAATGACAGGATTGACAGCATGGCCCTCATAAGGGCACCCCTGATGGGGTACCTCATGCCTCTAGCAATGGATCTCATCTGCTGGGTATGTCTACCCAAGGAGAAAACCAAGAGCAGAACAGCAATGAGGAAGATACTTGCTGGCACTGTAATATGAATAATGAAAAGGGAAAATGATGTCATATCTATTCCTTTTGTTTGAGTTGCATTTTTGGAGCTAAAGTGTACCAAGAATCTTTGTATTAAAGTCAATGCATATTTTCCATATATGCCAGTAATAATAGATGCATATAGTAGAGACCCCAGGATCAGCCATGGCACCAACTTGGGCATCCTCACCTTCAGCCAGAAGAACAGTGGGTGTGGGAAGGTGGCGATCTTGGTGCAGTAGAAAACACCAAGCCATGTGGCCAACCAAAGCCCACAACTATTTACAAATGTGAGAATTATGAAATTCTCAACAAGTGCCAACTGTTTAGTGAAGAAGTGAAGAACAAGATATACGAAGAAGATGATCACCTGCAGACAAATCCTCGAAGTCGCCAAGCAGGAAATAAGCAGATCCAAAGGAGCCATTTTTCTCTGTTTGATCAGGTTCATGATGTTCACCAGCACAATGAAGCCATTTGCGAAGACCCCAGCAAGCAATTGTGTCGCTGCTATAAGAAAATGAATAATGAGTTGAGGTGTTTGCATGTTGGGAAGAGGAAAATTAGTTACTTCTTTAAAGGATGGATAGATTTTGGGACAGTTTCAATTATTCACACTCTGTTTTTCTTGAACTAGAGCAAGGCCCCTTTGAGGAGCAGAATTCCAAGAAAGCAATAGAGTAGGAAAGTGATGTGCCTCTTTTTATGTCACTGCATTCCAATTTATTTCTGAGACATTCAAATAAGGATGAGATCCTCTAACAATAATTTGCTTCTTGCTGAGGGCTTTTGCATTTTCATGGTCTTCTTAACTTTTAGAGTCACCATAAACAAATACTGGAACTGAATAACTTCAGATGATGGCTGGCAGTCTTCTCAGCTAGAAAATCTGACATAGTTCCTTAACCTTCATCTCTACCACAAGTAACTAGTTGTGAGATTTTATTTCATTTTGTCAGTGTAGTCTTCCAAAAACACTCCTTTTGGAAAATATAATCACAAAAAAAGAAAAAGAAAATACAATCACTTCTGCTAACATATCTCACCCTAGCAATGTGAGACTTCTATGTAGTATTTCCCTAATATGCAAAGACTGAACAATTCAGTGCCTTCTAAAATTTAAAGTAGTTATATAATAAAATATGCAAGTAAAACCCAATGTATCACTAAATACAAAAGCAAGGCAATAAAGAATTCCAAGCATGGTGGTGCACACCTGTAATCCCAGCACTCGGGAGGCTGAGGCAGGAGGATCACTGTGAGTTCGAGACCAGCCTGGGCTACAT